TCTCATCTAAAACGAATTCTTACCGAATCACATTAAAGGGATCTGTCTGTCTTCGTAGAGAAAAAAAACCCACACACAGACAAGCACAAAACAAAACCTGGTTACACACACCTATTTCAAAACACGTCGGTCGGAGATCTGAAATTTGAGACAGAAATCTAGAGTAACACGCTCCAAAATGTAATATATTATTCGCAGCCAAATAACGTAGTCCTCTTAGGATTTCATATGAAGCATGACCTTTGAACGTTTGAAATGTGATTTTTCATATTTTAGCTAGAAAACATAAAAGTTCAAAAACATTTTTCAGTCTAAGATCGTTGAGATCAGATGTCGGAACGACAGCGTTCTTCCAAATAGGTATATTTCTTCAAGCGTCTTATATCATGCATCAAGAGTTCTGTGCTATTTTTACAATCACATCCCACTTTTTGACCCCAGCAGTAGCGCTTGATGCACATATAGATGTTGGGCTCCCTGTGTGCAGTGTAGCCCTGGGCCTGGAGTCCATCTCCACCAGTCACAAGATGGCGGATCCAGAAGAAGAAGTCAAACAACCAGTTCTTCCTTTGGACTCCAAAGACATTGATCCCATCGCAGAAATTCTCCTCAAGCACCAGTTATATCTAACTGCACTAGAACTACACACKGAGCTGGTAGAATGTGGCATCGAGATCCCAAAGTTACGAGATTTTTTCTCYAATCCTGGGAACTTTGAAAGACAGTTTCCGCTTCGAGCTCCATCTCCTGGCTCAATGCGTGAGTAGAATTGCTCATTTGCAGTACTTTAGCACCTTTTATACCTTAGATTCTCGACTAGCAGAGATATTCCTTGTATTACGAAAGCTAAACTGCAAGTTGTAAAGATGACCTTCGTCGTATGATTTTATAACTTTGGTCGTAGAAGGCTTACTGTGTACAGTTTTTTTCAATATATGTTATCTTTATTCCATCTCTAAACGTGTATTTTTAATCCATTCTGAATTATATTTTCGTTAGCAAAATATTACTTTCGWTATCAACAATTTCCTGAGTTTTTTTTCAATATCGATGAAAACCCCCAGATATTGCGCACTTTATACTCAAAATAGGCYTAAATTTAGGTCTATTTTTCTATTTTGACCGAACTGTCGACATAACAAATTAGTAGTACTAAGTAATTTTAATTGGTTTGYGATTTGATTTTGTTATTTTAATTTAGCTCTATTGTATTTTCAGCACGCACTTCCAGCATCAACACTATTGATTCTTTGGACGATTTCGCCCGGTTTTCTGATGATGGTGGACACGACAATACAGATGAACGTATCGCAGGTTGTACAATTTGTTCATATTGAGGGTACACATATTCACACA